CCGGGCTGGCCACTCGAGCATATCGGCTCTCCACACGGTCGTCCATAGGATTGAGAAGCAGCTTCAGCAAGGGGGCTTTTTGATAGGCACTTTCTTGGATATTGAAGGGGCCTTCAATAACACCCCGCATGATAGATATCTCTGGATTAGTTAATCGAGAGTCGCGGTTCGTGTTGATTTTTCTCAGTGTTGGAAAATGTCATTACTAGATTTATAACCCTATCTTAAGCCTAAGCGTGGGACCATTATCGTTGGGTCCGCGTGATATCGGTGTAAGATGGTTAAACATTTCATCTTCTTTTGAGCGTCGGTCCGCGCTATCACTCTTATTATCGCGGGGATTATTTCATGGCTTGGCTTAGCCTTGGTACCAACGCTGTTTGATGTTGATTTTCGTTTTCCACGATGCTCAAAAAGAGGTTTGATAGTCAATGCTACGAAAGAGTTTTTTATCGCGGATCTTCCGATTCTAGGCAATCATTTCGAGACCTGACTTAGCGCCTTGGCACCAATGCTATTTGGTGATTATTTGATATTGACTTTCATTTTCTACGATGCTCGAAAGGAGATTTAACGTTTGATTATCGGCACTAATGAGAGAGTTTTTATTGCGGGTCTCTCGATTCTAGGCAAACAAGATTTTGTGGCTGGAAACTTCTCTCGGATTTGTGTTATCACTCGGATTTGTTCATATCTTACTTCGTTGATTGAACGGTCGCGAAACGAAGAAATCGTGGAGTCCACCGGACGTAAAAATGCCAAAATTTTTTTTTTATTACTTTTTTCAATTCAAAATAATTGTATTTTGTTTATTGGGGAATCTTTATTGTACTATGCTAATTATTATGCTAATGTAATTACAACTGTGTCATTGTGATATAAATCGTCGTATACGATTCATACTAGATATGAGTTGAGTTTGTTGTTTTCCTAGGTCATTAAAGATTGTAGATGAGATTCATGTACATCTATTCAAAATTATTGTGCAGAATTATTATATGCAGCATATAATATCAATTGTCAGAAAACTGATGATTTTCTCAGGGTCCACTTAGAAATAATGTTGAAGCTTTTGTAGAGTAATTATTAGAACAGTTGAAGTACGTAAAATATTACATTAGAATAATAAGATTATGTTAGAATAAAATATCTGTGATTTTGTCATATTTTGTTTTAATATAATAATTTTTTTATTTTGCAGGTTCGGAAAATTATAAAATAAAGTATTGGCTGCTAATAGCGCCTAATTAAAGCATTGGGTGCTAATAGCGCCTAATTAAAGTGTCGGCTGAAATTAAAGCATCGGTTGCCAATAGCGCCAAATTAAAGCATTGGCTGCCAATAGCGCCAAATTAAAGCATCAGCTGCCAATAGCGCCAAAATAAAGTATCGGCTATTAATAGCGCCTTTTGATTAAAATATTATTGATTTTATCCATCACTAGAAGGTTGTCCCAGACGCTAATTAGAAATGGATCTTTGGTGTCACAAGTTCTGTTATGGTAATACGGAACAAAACATTTTAACTTCCGAAGAATGATTGACGGAAACAATGATAGATAGTTTCCATGCACTACTCGAAAGAAATTCTGATTATGCACCTCGACCTGTATGGTTGACAATATTTCCCGATCGGATTATT